TAAAGTTTACAGCACCTGGTATTCCCAGGCGGTCTCCCATCCAAGTACTAACCAGGCCCGACCCTGCTTAGCTTCCGAGATCAGACGAGATCTGGCGCAGACAGGGTGGTATGGCCGTAAGCAAGGCCTGCCACAAAGAGTGAGCTATTTAAAGATCAGCCACTCTATAGGCCAGTGTATTAGATAAGTAGTGAAGAAAACGTTTGTAACAGATCTAGTAAGCTGTTACCTTACTTTTGTGTTTAAAGTCAGTGGTAATTTTCCTCCCAGTCATGAGGGGGCGTGAGGGAGTCATTATCAGTGAAGTTTCTCTAGATCAGAGAATAAGAGGAGTGGGAAGTTTGAGGAAGGACACTTGTGAGCTGGGAGTGTTTGCTCTCTCCATGCTTACTCAAACCCTTATTTGAGGAATATTGGTGTTCTACATCTCAATGTAAGTAGCTTTATTGTTTCTTTAATATTGTCAGAGGTTTTATGGTTGGTAATGTACTTTGTATCCTGAACCTCATGTTGTATTGTTTGTCTAGAGGGTTTGTGTATCCACTTAATTTTGAGGGCATTTCAACTCAACTGGTCGATGTTTCTGATTTACCATTTACTTCAACCTTGGAGTTTCGTCTGAACTGCTCTCTACTCTACTCTGGATTATCGCTATGGATGATCTTGGACTTTATCCTTTTAACATCCTAAACATCTACAATACTGTGATGAACCAAGGACATTTGTGGTTATTCAGAACTTTAATGTGAATGGACATCTAAAAGGTTTTGTCTCTAAATAGGGACAGACCAGGAGTGCTGTTGCACAATATATGGTTTAGATGTATATGGTATTGGATGTTGTAGTTGTGTGCTTCTAAAGGAGATATAGTATGCTATTCAAAGGTGATTGATCCCCCTTCATTTAAGTTATGTGACATTTGATGTTGGTGACTGTTACAACATCTTCATAGTCAGTTTCAACTACATTAGAAACTTAAAACTTCAGACACAACAGATCTAATACAACTTTGCCACCACACTGCATCGGGTTGATTCAATTACTTTAGAATCCTAACAGAATTCTAAGAGACCAACAACAAGTTTCAGTTACTTTAGAAACTTTAAACTTAAGCACTTTGCTTCAGTTACTTTAGAAACAATGATTCCAATACAGTTCTGCCACCACACTACGTTGGGTTAATTCAGTTCCGTTAGAATTTTAAACAGAATTGTACCGAATAGGCTTAATAACTCCTCCTGCTAATACTGAATAAACTTATCTTCTATCCTTACAATTTATTTTCTAGATTTTTTTAAACGAAGGGGTTTCCCTGACAAATCCAGCAAAAAGAAAGAAACCGCTTTTCTTACCTTTTTTCCTGCTTTTTGGAAACTCCTGCGCTGGGTGGCTCGCCAATGTAAGAAAAAGTGAAGACGTCGAAGATCTTGATGAAGAATAACTTTTATTACAGAATAGTAGTGACAAAGTACATGTAGTACCTTGGGTTCAACAGAGTCAGAATGAACCCCGAACATCCTAAGCTCAAACATTTTATACACTTAGAGTTTACCCTCAATGTAAAGGAAGTTGCTCCTGTTGTTACAGCTGTGGTCTGTATGTTAATTAAGTTCTGACACCCCTTTTGTCTGAGGTGGTTCTCAGTGTCCCACACCTGCTCCCATTCTACAATTGGTCACCATTTGCTCAGGATGTGATCATCCCAAGTGATCTACAAACAACATAACTGTTGACTTTCTTCTTCTCTATAATAATTAAGCCATTTTGGGAAATGAGCATGATCAAACATATTGTGGAGTGGAATCTGGGTCGGGGCAGACTATAGAGTGACACTATTTACATATGATTAAGATCGGAAAGAACTATCTATATGATAATTAAGCTCTTTGTAGAGAAAGGTTTAATACACAATTTGGAGTGGAAGCTGGGTCGAGGCAGACTATAATGTCTTACAGTTTGGATTGGCAGTATGGTTCTGTTCTGGGCAAGAACTCCCTGCGCATCCATGCAGCCTAGCATGGATAAGAGCAGGGAGAGCAGCGATAACCCCCCCCAGGTTAAACAGACCAGAAACAACATAAAATTTTTGAACTTAACAATATCTGCAATACATTTATGTACACATTTTTAGAATTAGTCTGATTCAAAGAGAATCAGAAGGCTGAATCCCGACTGACAGAGGAGGAGCTGGGGATGGAGGAGGGTAATTAGCTATTGAGCCATGCGAAAACTGCTGATAATACTGAGGGACCTTATATATGAATGCTTAGATAGGTGTCGTATTCCCATAGGTTGATGGGGATCAGCTGATGCGAGCTTGACTAACGTGACCTGCCAGAACTAACGGGAATTACCAGTTCTTCAAACTTTGTTAAACTTTACCATGTATAGACCATTAGTAAGTATAGTAATGTGTCTTATTAGTTACCATATACTTACACTACCTGTTAGTGACCGTTATTATTCACACTTGTTGGTAAGTACTGCATATTTAACACGTATATACGTATATACCAAGTACAGTATGTGTCTTGTTTGTTACCACATAATACTAAATTTTTCCGTAGTTGCTACACCATGTACATATCATTAGTATATACAGTAATGTGTCTTATTAGTTACCATATACGAATACTTTAAGGACGTGCCTGTTTGTACCCACTTGTCCCTAACTACTACATATTTACAATGTATATACATTAGTAAGTACAGTAATGAATCTAATTAGTTACCATGTACAGACACTACCTGTAAGTGACCG